TKWRAMACACTATACAACTTTTTGAGCAAATGTCAAATCTAAAAGTTAACTTTGATAAAAGTTGTGTGGTGGGTGTGAATATGGGGGAAAGTGAGATCTTTGCATGTGCAAACATTTTGGAATGTGAAGTGTTGGATTGGCCTCTAATTTACCTCGTTCTTCCTCTTGGAGATAATCCTCAGAAAGGAAGTTTTTGGACTCCGGTTGTGGAGAGGTTTGAAAAGAGACTTACATCTTAGAAGAAGAATTATTTATCTCTAGGAGGAAGAATCACCCTAATTAGGGCTACCTTAGCTAACTTGCCCGTTCATTACCTTTCAGTTTTTAAGGTGCCTGCAGGGGTGGCTGACAAGTTAGAAAAGTTGATGAGAGATTTCTTGTGGGAGCTTGGGGAGGAGAAAAAGGATCATAGGGTTAGGTGGGAGGTGGTGTGTAGAAGTAAGCAAGAGGGAGGCTTAGGGATTGGGAATATTAGGAAGAGGAACTTGGCTCTACTAAGGAAATGGCTGTGGAGATTCTCATTGGAAAAGGAAAAGTTGTGGGCTAAGATAATTGGTAGTATTCATAGGCTTGCAGAGAATGGATGGGACTCTGGGATTATGGCTATGGCAACAAGAGCATCACCATGGAAATCAATCCATGCTATTTTGCCTCTAATCTCTCCTTGGATCAGGTATGATTTGCACTTGGGTAACTCAATTAAGTTTTGGGAACATGTGTGGATTGGGGATCTTCCGTTGAAAGACCAATTTCCAGCCCTTTTTGCAAACTCCACCTTCAAAAATGAACCAATTGCCACTTTCCTTGTTCCCTCAAATTCAAATTCTGGGTTTGGGTGGAACTTGGGATAGAGAAGAGCCCTCAAGGACACAGAACTGATTGTACCTCTAATCTCTTGTCCATTCTTGATGGGGTTTTCTTGGAGCTGACAAAAACAGATAGTATGATCTGGACCTTGTCTCCTTCTGGATCCTTTACTTGTGCCTCCTTCTTTAAAGCCCTATTGCATATGGAAAGTCCTATTGGCTTGTTATTCCCTGTCAAGGATGTGTGGTGTCGACCTATACCTCCGAGGGTTGGGAGTTTCTGTTGGGAAGCTTTTCTGGAAAAAATTAACACAGGTGACTTACTTCAAAGAAAAAAGACCCAATAGTTGTTTATCTCTACACAGGTGTATTCTTTGTAGAGCTGCTGGTGAGTCCGGTTACCACTTACTAATATCCTGTGTTTTGGTAAAAAATTATTTGGGAATGGTTTGATTTTTTGTTTGGGTGCAGGTGGACTCCCCCAACGAATGTGCAAAGCTTGTTTACCTCTTCCTCTGTTAACTGCCCAACAAAAAGATCAAGGATCATGTGGAGGTGTGTGAGAGCTGCTGTTTGCTGGATAATATGGAAAGAAAGGAATTCAAGGATTTTCTCAGAAAAGGAGAGAGGGTTGGAAAATATGTTGGAAGTGATCCATATAAGGGTAATACATTGGTTGAAGACAATGGATGAGTTCACAGATGATATGTTAAGGAAATGGAAAGAAATTGCAAGTTCAGTCTCGGCTAAGAAGACCCTGAATACTACATGGAATCCTCCTCCTGGATTTATCAAATTAAATTTTGATGATAGTAGCATGGGGAATCCAGGGCCTTCGGGTATTGGGGGGGTTTTACGAGATGAGAATAGTAATATAACAGCTATGTTCTCTAGCTCAATTGGAGTGGGGGATTCGTTGAGGGCTGAGGTGTTAGCAGCCTTGGAAGGGGTACAAAGGGCTAAGGAACTAAAGGTCAAGAAGCTGATTGTAGAGGGAGATTCTGTGGTGGTAGTGAACTGGTTGAAAGAAGACAATTCTAAGCTCTGGAGTTACAGTAATGAGAAGAGGAAATTCAAATGGTTGTACAAGAATATGGAAGTTCAGTGTAATTGGGTTAAGAGAAGTGCAAACTCGTTTGCTGATGGTCTGGCTAGGCAAGGAGTGAATAGGATTTCTGGGTTCTGGGCTCAGTTGTAATTGTTTTGTTCTATTTCAGCTTGGGATTTATCCTTTCCCTGGGGAGTTAAGATTCTTTAGCTCCCCTTTTTTTTATAACCTTATTTTATTTAATGAAATCTGTTGTTATTGATAAAAAAAAAAGATGGCTTAATGTTTTACTCATGACTAGGCATCGAGTCACTTGATGGTGATGCTGTGGAGATGGTTTCACAGAATTGGTCCTTTGTCAATTTTATGACTTTTAAACCAAACCCTCCTTACTGTCAGGAGCTCGGGATTTATGGGAACATATTTTGGTTTTCAGTAGACAAAAGTGAATTTAATCCAGTAGATGTTGCTTTTTTTTTCTGACTAATTTTGTCAATTGCCTTCTTCATGCTAGATTCAATTGTGATTGAAGATCTCAGTTATATACAACTGCATCATGAATCTTTTTGGCCATTATCTGAATCTGCAGGAATGAAGGGGGGATGTTACATGTACATGGGAATGTGAAGGACTCTGAGGAGGGCTTATGGTCAGAGCATGTTGCCAAATCTATAACTGAGATTGCTAATTCTGAAGGTATAATTTCCTCAAGTTACTGCATGTGTGTGTACATAAGACATTAAACATATTGTCATTGAGGATTTCTTGTTTTAGGCCACTGTTGGGAGGTTTCTGTGCAACATGTGGAGAGAGTGAAATGGTATGCTCCACACATCCGCCATCTTGTTGCAGATATATGCTGTAAACAGATTCAGAAATAACAAACAGAATTGGTAAGTTGTTTGGAAACCAATGCCATTTGATTGCTAAGCTAAGTAACACTCAAAAATGGGTAGCTTGTTGAAAATGACGATTAATAACTGGAAGTTTTAGATTTTGCTTTTCCCCCTAAAAGATCATTGCTGCCAAGATATGTGAAATTGCTCTTGCACGTAAAATGTAGGACAATGTACATGTGGATTGCTATTAAAGAATTTATCTAAGACTGTTTGGAACAACCAAAATTTGTCTGCCCGAACCTCAAGAGGAGGAAAAATAAAGAGAAACTGTCTCCATCTGCTTATTCATTTTCCGATTCAACTGTAAGTCAAAATACAAAACACAAACAAAACGCACACTATGCAGAGACACAAGGACAAGGACTAGAAACTCCCATAAAATCAGCAAGAAGTGGGCCTATCCCTGGTGGTGGAGTACTAAATTCCTTCTGCCTTTCACGTGAGTTCCAGGCCAAATTAGTCATGAAGTCAGCACAATGGTTTGCTTCCCTGTAACAATGTTGAAGCTGGAGCATATTCTCTTTTATTTAATGTTTCATTGATTATTTTTGATTGCTTGTTTACCTCAATTTTGCTAACAATGGCCAAATTATAACATGATTAGGAGGCTAGTTGTTATGGGCCCGCAAATAGGATCTCGTCATGGGTTGGTCCACAGGGAAAACCTCCTGTTTTCCCTTGTTTCTCCCTGCTCTTGATGAACTTATCTTGGCGCCTTAATGGTGATTTGTCCAAGAGATCACCAACTCTCCTTTGCTCTCTCTCTTGACTGAAATTTTCGATGCCTTTATTGAATAAAGTCAGTTTCTTAAATAGGAGATCACAAGAGATAAGAGTCCTACTTTTAGGAAGACTCATTGCTAATTAGAGAGACTCCTTACTAATCTATCCTACTGAACTGATAAGATAAGATAAGATAAGACTCCCTTAATCTATCCTACTGAACTGAAAGATAAGATAAGACTTAATCTATCCTACTGAACTGATAAGATAAGATAAGATAAGACTCCCTTAATCTATCCTACTGAACTGATAAGATAAGATAAGACTCCCTACTAATCCATACTACTGAACTGATAGATAAGAACACTGAATAGATAAGACTCCTACTAATCCCTGCTACTGAAAGCAGATAAGGTAAGAATACTGAATAGATAAGATAGGAKGAGAACACTAAATTGCTGCTGCTGAGAACACTAAATTACTGCTGCTGCTGCACTAAATTACTGCTGCTGCTGCCGGCGCCCACATCACTAATATTCTTAATTGTGAAATTATCCTTATCCTAATCTTCTTGAGCCTTCATTTTCAGGACCTTGCCTTCAGATTTTCAGATGGGGTTGTGTTCTTATGGTCTTAGCCATTTCAACCTTGTCATGCATACTCCAGATAGGAGCAATCCAAACAAATGACTATTTTTCACATGAATATTCCAGGACGTGGAACAAGATTTAACTGAACTAAATTCAATTGAACAAAACTTTATCCCAAATTTATGGGCTCGACTACACAAGTCCTCTTCTGCAATTTTGTTCTATTTAATGCCATGTCCATGGTTAAATTATAGGCCCTCAAATAGGCACTTGTATCATTGTTATAGAAGAAACATAGGGAAATGTGGGATTTCATGTAAAATGTCTTATTTGAGAGAGAGGACTCCCAGAAAACATACAGATTTCACAAAAGTTGTCTTTTCTGAAGGTGTTGGCCTGTTGAACTGCTGTTTGAGCCATAGAGGCGCCAAGGTGAAACTAGGCGATAGGGGGCGCCTTGTTGCTTAGTTGCCTAGGCGGGCACCTAAGCGATGTCTTTTTTTTTTAAATAAAAAATATAAATCCTAGGATAGATCCCTAGGTTTCATAGTAATAAGTAGTGTTCTTCAACTAATAATTACCATAATTCTCATGAAATAAGTATAAACCCTATATCAGATGATAGATAATCAACATATTTATGAGAAGAAAAGAAAGCATACAAAACATAAGGGCTGAGCTCTTGTTTTTGGTCCTATGAAGTCTTATTGGTCGATTGGATAAAATAAAGTTATTTCTCACTTGCCAATTCAAGTTTTAAAGTTCTAAAGGGTTCAAGACAATGTCACCGACTTGTGTGTCGATGGACTCCAAATAGATAAGATGACAAAAAGAAACTAGTACAAGAATAATAATATTAATACTATAAGTCCACATTATTAAGAATAGTCTTTATTTGATAATTCAATATGAATAATAGTCTAATAATATCTATTGTACTACTATAAATAACACCATATAAAAATATAAAAATATTGTGTGAAATCTTACATATAAATATATAGGCGTTTGGGCAAGGTGACCCTCCAAGAACACCTTGTCACCTAGGCAGGTGCCTAGGCGTCACCTTGACAGCTATGGTTAGAGCTTGTTAGATGATCTAGGCTACACAGACAACGAGGGAACCCAAATATCTCGTTTTGAAAAGTCAATAAAATCATATTTCTAAAATATTTTGATTGTTCTAGTAGTAGTAACTATTCCAAACAAAACTAGCTATGTGTGTGTGTGTGCAATGGAATCTTTTTTATCAACCGAAGAAATATATTTTTGCAAGCTTCTTACAAAAATATGTTTTCTTGTATTGCTTTTTTCTCGTTCTGATTAAATTTAATACTTTCTTAATTTTCGTTGAGATATTTGCAGCAGATCTGCAATCTATGGATAGCATTCTCAGCACATGGTGTTAAATGCAATGAATGCAAATAATAGTTTAGTGGACCAGGACCAGCTAGCGGAAAACAAGCCTTGAGATGGGTGTTTACTGTTGACTTAACATCTTTGGCATCTCACATCTGTACTCTTGTTCTATTTATATTAGGAAAGCCAAATCACTAATTACACTAATTAATAACCCTGTTAGTTGAGTTGGTAGATCTTAGATGGGCATCACTCCCAACACTCCAACAGTGGATGCGGGGGATCAAATGTGTATATTCAGTTTTGTTTAAGGTTTAAATCAAAATGATAATGTTTTGTTAATGATATTATCTCTAATCTCTGTTATAGAGAAGTGTGGTGGTCTACAAGCAACTCAAGCATGGAGGATGGAGGGAGAGTATCTATTACCCACTTTCCCTTCAGCTTCCTTCTGGTTGTCCTTATTGTAAAAAGCAATGTAACACAACAATGAGAGTTTGGATTTTAGACCTTTTATGTTGCTTTAGCTACAAGCCTTTAACAAATTGGGCTCCGCCATTTTATTTTTTAGAAAACTGGCAGGAGTACGCGTGGTGTGGTCCAGTGCTACTGCTAAAGTCTGAATGTATGTGTACTTGACTTGTTATGTACAATTAGTCCATAATTAATTAAAATTCTAAGATTAATTTCAAAGTTATTCCAAAAAGAAATGAATTGAAGCTTGGGAAAATTTCACATTAGTACCCTGTACTTTGGGTCTAGTGCCACTTTGATCTTCAAACTTTAAAATGCGACAATTTAGTATCCAAACTTTCAAAACGCACCAATTTAGTATCTGTCATTAACCATCCTGCTAACCAGTCATTAAGTGCCATTTGAAAAGACACAAATTCCCTTTGAGTGTCATCTAATTCTCTTTATGAACCATCCAAACATTGATAAAAAATGAATGGTCTCAGATCTTTGCCTCTTTTGTTCAGGAAAGTTGGGGTCACAAGAATGCCCATTGAGACGTAACCCCAACTTTCTTGAATAGAAGAGGCAAGGATTTGAGACTGTTCATTTTTATCAATAGTGTCTTCTTTTGAAGGGTAGTTTTGACATTTTTAACAGATAACTGATGGTTGGTTAATAGCAAAGACCAACTTGACACTTTTTGAAAGTCTAGGTACTGCAGTGACATGTTTGAAAGTTCATGTGCTAATTTGACACTATCCCCAAAGTTTAGGATACCAAAGTGAAAATTTCTCTAATCTTAAATATCTTTTGAGCAATTTTTTTTTCCGACAAGCACAAGCGAGCAAGGGTTAGAAATGGACAACAATATCTAATATCTGTGGAACTTCACGAAGAATAAAAGATAGTTATTGGAAGGCTATGTTTGGTATGACAGATGAAGATAGAATTACAAAATTGGGGGAAACTGCACAACAAAATTTGTGAAATACTTTAATATAGAACTTTCCCTCAACTTTCTTTTTTCTCTCTTTCTGAGCTCGCATTTTAGACCCTCCGATCCACCTTTTACTTCCAATTATTTTTTGCCACTTCATTTCATCTTTTTGAGGGCAACTCAATAGGATTTTAACAACAGTTTCAATAAAGGGAAGAAAAAACCGAATTTCAATCTTTAATTGCAGGATTACAATGGATAGTAGCAGATTTAATGTAGGAGAACAGTTTAGCAGATTTGTTCTAATGATTTTTACAGCAAAAATCACCCAAACTGTATGCGAAATTTAAGAGAATGATGAAAATAGAGTGAACAAAGAAAAAAAAAACAACCTTAAGTTTGGAGTAATTGAATATTCTCATATTCCTTTTTGAACAATAGTTAATAATGTTCTCATACCGTTCTATAGGTTGGCAGCCAATAAAACCCTAAATTTACAAAAATACCCCTATTCCAAAATAGCAAGGAAAATCCAAAAATAACATCCTATAAGACTTCCTAACAATAATAATCCACTAGAAATCATTAATTGACTTAAAATAACCTATGAAATCATCAAAAACAAAATTAAAACAAGAACGTAGCTAAATTCAAGCGCGAAAATTCTTCACTTTCTTGTTCCTCTAGATTTGTCATGTATTTCTTCATGATTAAGTGTTGCAGCCTTTATATCAATCCCTCTAGTTTAAAATGACTCGCCTTCGAGTCTTGTTTGGAGATGGGTGGATGGTACTCAGAGATTAGCAACATTGAAAGTTCTAGATATATTCACAGAAGTAGGAAGGTCTACAACTTAGGCATTGTTATTAATCTTCTTCACGATCTTGTAGGGTCCAATCTTCTTTAGCTGCATCTTGTTGTATTGCCCTGTAGGGAATTACTCCTTCCTTGGAAACACCATTACTTTATCCCCTTCGTGGAAAAACTTTGGTCGCCTATGCTGATCAGTTGCTTCCTTATACTTGGCATTGGCCTCTTCTAGGTGTTTCTTTACTTCCTCATGAATGGATATGATCTTGTCAGCAAAGTGTTCCATTACACACTATATCCTGGCAATTTTGGAAGTGGCACCAAGTCTAAAGTATGTGTGCGTCCAAACACAATCTCAAATGGAGATTTGCTAGTAGATTTGTTCACCATGTTATTATAGGCAAATTTTGTTTGTGCAAGAGCTAAATCCCATTGTTTAGGCTTCCCACTAGATAGACTATGTATATTACCAAAAGTCCTATTCACCACCTCTGTCTGTCCATCGGTTTGAGGATGACAAGTGCTGCTAAATTGCAACTCAGAGTCAAACTGTCGCCATAAAGTCCTCCAAAAGTGGCTAAGGAACTTTGTGTCACGATCTGAGGTAATAGACTTTGGAATGCCATGTAGTCTAACCACTCCTCTAAAGAATAAGTTGGCTACATGTGTTGTATCAACTGTTTTCCTGCAAGGAATAAAATGAGCCATCTTCGAAAAGCAATCCACTACTACAAACACTGTATCATGTTGCCTTTGAGTTCTAGGTAACCCAAGCACAAAGTCCATGGATAGATCCTCCCAAGGGCCCTTTGGTGTAGGCAAGGGCATGTACAACCCTGTGTTTTGGGTATGGCCCTTAGATGTTTGGTAAACATAGCAACCTTGTACAAACCTCCCAATATCCCTCTTGAGTGGCCAATAATAACGCTTCACCATTTCAATGGTCTTGTCTCTACCCAAATGACCCCCATTGTGCAATTCTTTAATAGTTTTCTCCCTCAAGGATCCTCTAGGAATGCATAATTGAGTTCCTAGATAGAGAAAACTATCGTGCAAGATAAACTCACTATATTGTCCCATTTGGAGTTTCTTCCATTCAACTTGGAAATCTTCATCTATAGCATAGAGTTCTTTTATGCATTTGAACCCTATGATTTCTGCGTCCAATGTTTTCATCAAAAGAACCCTCCTACCCAAAGCATCTACTACTTTATTCTATTCCCCTGATTTATGCTTGAGAGTAAAAGTAAACTCTTGTAAGAAGGTTATCCATCTATCATGCATACGATTAGTAGTGTTCGTGTCATTAATATGTTTCAACGCTTGACGATCGATAAATAAAACAAACTCCCTTTGGACCAAATAATGCCTCCAATGCTTCAAAGCCTGCATTACTACATATAGCTCTTGCTCATAGGTAGACCATTTCCTTCTTACTTCATTTAACTTTTCACTATAGAAAGCCATTGGTCGATTCTCCTAAGATAGTACAACACCTATACATGTCATTAAAGCATCACATTCCACCTCAAATAACTTATCAAAGTTGTGAGAAGCAATTATAGGAGCCTTGGTTAGCTTTTCCTTTATTCATTGGAATGCCCTTTTTGTCTCTGGTGTCTATTGAAACTACCCCTTTTTAAGCAATCAATAATATGACTGACAAATGCTGTTGAAATGTTGTACAAAATTACAAATCGTCGACAAAAAGTAGCCAAACCATGGAGAGAGCACACTTTATGTACATTTTTAGGCAAAGGCTAGTCTCTAATAACCTTAACCCTTTCCTCATCAACCATAATGCCTGAATCACTAACCACATACCCAAGAAACACAAGCTGCTTGGCCATAAAACTGCACTTCTTTAAGGTTGACATAAAGCTGATTTTGGTGAAGAATCTTAAATACTTCTTGTAAATGTTGTAGGTGTTCTTCCTTGTTCTTGCTATACACCAGGATATCATCAAAATATACTACCATACACTTTCCAATCAATGGCTTCAAAACATGGTTCATCAACCTCATGATTGTGCTAGGGGCATTGGAAAGTCCAAAAGGCATAACTTTCCACTCATACAACCCTTCTTTTGTCTTGAAAGTTGTTTTCCATTCATCTCTAGGGTGGATTTTGATTTGATTGTAACCACTCTTCAAATCAATCATAGAAAACATTGCTGCCCCATAAAGCATATCTAACATATCATCTAACATAGGGATTGGAAACCGATATCAAACAATTATTTTTTTGATGGCCCTACTGTCCACACACATCCTCCAACTCCCATCTTTTTTTGGTGTAAGTAAAGTTGGAAAAACACATGGGCTAGTATCAATTTGCACCATTCATTTCCTTAGAAGTTCATCCACTTGCCTTTGGAGTATTTCATGCTCCTTAGGGTTCATTCGATAATGTGGCAAATTTGGCAAACTAGCCCTTGGAATCAAGTCAATAGCATGTTGTATTTCCCTCATAGAAAGCAATCTATCAGGTAACTCCTCAGGGAAAACACTTTTATATTCTTCAAATAATGGTTTCATGGAATCGGGTACATCGGTAGGTGGGGAATCTTCATCCTTGGAAACAATAGCATATATATATGCCCTGTCTATTTAGATTCCTCCAAGAATCTTTGAGTAAGAAGGGTACGCCCCTCCACTTGAGAAGTTTTGGGTCGTTCCTTCATTTTCAAAGGTGCAAGAACAATCTTCTGTTTATCTTTAATGAAAATATAAAGATTATCCTTGCCCTCATGAGTAACATCACAACGGTGTTGCCCGGGTCTTCCCAAAATAAGGTGGCTAACATCAACATCCATAACATCATATAGTAATTCATCAAAATATACATTACCTATAAAGAAAGCCACCTTGCACTGTTGTGAAACCTTTTCTAGCTGAATCTTCTTCACCCAATCAGCAATGAAAGGATCGGAGCTAGGTATTGTTGGCAAGCCCAACTGCTCTACAATTGATTTGGCAATGACATTCGCTTCTGCCCCACTATCAATAATTTAAGTCACACACCACCTCTTTTATTCTACATTGTGTCTTGAAAATTTTCTTTTCTCATGTGTCAAGTATTGGTTGCTTAGTTGCATGAAGAATACGCTTGACCACACCAAAAGATCTCTCTTCTTTTGGAAAAGCCCAATGAACATCATCTCTCAAAGCCTCTCCTTCATCACTAAAATCAAAGTTTGTTGGTAGGGCTTGGAAACATTGTTGTTCTTAGGGCTGGACCACTACTTGTCGCTAAAACTGATTCTCTAGATCAACTCTTCCTATTGGTACAGAAGGCAACCCCTAGTTTCTTGTTGGGACGG